TGGTGTATAAGGTGTTTTGATCAGGTATTTTGGTTCAGAATAGGCCTACTTGTAACATTTCTTTAGGTTGTAGTAAAAGCCTCTGTAAGCTCTCAATAAGAGAGTCCTTAGGAGGTCTCCTAAGGAGGACCTGATTTATCAAGCCCTATCTGTTGGTGTACTTGGATTTCGTCCCTGCCCATCTTTGTTCTAGGTATGCAAAACCAAGTAAAAATGAGAGAATTTGATCTAACACTTTGTCATTGGCACCTATTTTGATATGCAAGGAGGTCTTTGGGAATAAGAAAGTGCAAGATATATAGGGAAAGGACACTTGAAATTGTAAGATATAGGAAAAGGACACTTTGGAGCAGATCTGGGTGCCAGTCATTTCTACTTTCTAGCTATGTAGTTTTTAGACAAGGTATTTCTATTTCTCTGAGGCTTGGTTTCCTCTTCTGTAAGATGGGGATAATTTTTGTGGCACTAAAAGTTCATTAGGAATAAATGAGAATAATTAAGGCTTTGGGCACAAGGCATTATACATAGGTAATAGAAGCAAATTACATTTTTCTCCCTTAGAACTTTTTTATTGCTTTGTATTTATCCTTTTGTATTATTTGAATGGAATAACAGTATTTATCATTGAGTACTTATTGCTGGGCTCTGATATAGGGCTTTCCCACAGTATATCATTTTTTACTTGGTAACACATTTCTGAAGCAGAAACCTTTTAAATCAAATGTAGGGAACTGAGGCATGGAAATAAGTGTATTGCCTAAGGTTACAAAGCCAGTGAAGCAGAGCTGGTATTCAAACCCAGTTGTCTCTTAATCTAGAGCATAGGCTCTTTACCACTAAGTTGATTATTTTTACCTTTCTGTCACTTTTCCCTGAATAATCTGTGACTTCTACTGGTTCTTAATTTCTGTCTGCTTATACCTATCCGGATTGTGTGCATATAGTTTTTGGACTTTTTCTAGTCTTGAGGGTGCCTAATTTTGATGGTGGTATAGACAGTGAGTCTTTCTGCCCTAGTGTTTCCTGATTCTTTTCACTCAGAAGATTCTTTTAACTGAAAAGGTTATTATAGAGGTCATTCTCGTCTTCCTTCATTGCCGCTTCATATCTTGCCATAGATGTCAACAGTTAACTTGTTCTTGTAAGTCATCTTTGGTCCTTCAGAAGAGCAAATATGATCACCCTAATTTTACAGATCTGATAACTAGGGTCCAAGAAGGTGAAATTATTTGTTCAGTCACAGTGAATTAGAAAAAGAATTGGAGCTAGATTGTAGGGTTTCTGATTCTCAGCCCAGTATCCTCTTGACTAATTTAGGCAGAAGAGATACCTGTATATAAGGTGAAGATCAGGCCTAAAAAGAATTGAACTGGCTGGGCGCAGTGGCTTGGAAGATTGAGGCAGGAGGATTGCGAGTTCAAAACCAGCCTCAGCAACAATGAGGAGCTAAGCAACTCAGTGAGACCCTTTCTCTAAATAAAATACAAAATAGGGCTGAGGATGTGGCTTAGTGGTGGAGTGCCCCTGAGTTCAATTCCCTATAAATGCCCCCCCCCCCAAAAAAAAAAAGAGAGAGATTTAGGTCTAGGCCCAGGACCTAGACAGTTCTGAAGGGACTTTGCCAGTTTACTTGTATACTTTTGAAGAACTAATCAGAAAGAAACACCTTTCTTTCCCAAAGAAAGTATTTATCACATGGAACTGTGGGGAAGCCTCCAGATCACGTCAGTATCTGCGTATCCTTAAGAAAAGATAGACTCCCAGGTCTTACTAGTCTGAGATAAACTTGGTAAAGAAGGAAGCAGTGGACTATAGAGGAAGAACTTTCTGGTCTTTTGACTTCTGTCTTCAGCCTAAACCAGATTGTGGTTGGCTGGGACAGTTAGTGAGGATTGGGGATGGGAATCCTGGGAAGCTTAAGTGTTTCACTTTACCTCTTGCTGACAGATTTGATCTGGGATTTAGATAGGCAAGTTCGCTTCATTTAAAATTTATAAAAAGGAATTTTCTACTACTACTCTAAAAACAATCTAAAAACAGAACAAAACCTTGATTTTGGAACCAGAAAGTAAAGGAAACCTTTTTCAATCTCGAGGCCTCAGACATTTCAATCCTGCCCAACATTTTCTTTCATTTTGTCTCTTTCCTTACCTTCTTTCCTTTCACCACTTTTTTCTTCCTCTCTTTTTTTCTACTCCTGCCCAACTTCCCTTATCTTTTTCTCTCCTCACTTTCCCCCTTACTCTTGAAAATAAGAAAAGGATACCTCCAATCAATAGACTGTTAGGTACTTGAGATTGGTGTTGATTCTGAGGCTGACAGAACATGGAAGTTGAGATTTTGGACCTTTCTTTTAGTCTTCAGAACAAAAGTTGATGGGGCAGGGTTTATCCAAACATATGTTCCTCAAATACTTAATATCTTCTATCTGCTAGGCTATGTCAGGTGCTTGAGCTGTTACATTTAATAAGACCCTAATCCTGCCATAAGAAAAGTCTTGCAGAGAATACATAGTGAAAGGCACCCCCTTCCCTGAGACAAGTAATTTGAATTTTGAGGTAGAAGGAACTTAAGAGTTTTATTTGGTCCTACTTTCATGTTGCTCTGTAATGAAGTAAGGTGGACCTATATAAAGTAAGAGAAAACACATAGGCTTTGGAAAAGCCTCAGTTTACATCCTAGCTCTGCAACTTTCTGGCTGTTTGATTGCGAATGACACACTTACTTAACCTCACCTATCTTAAGTTACTTTGGCTGTAAAATGGGTGTGTTATAAGATATTATGAGGATTAATAGTTTAACTTCTAGTCCAGTGCCTGGACATAGTAGTGTCTTTCCCTATTCTAAGACCTTGTTTAAATCTTCACTTCTGTGAAACTTCAGAGACCTGGTCAGACTGATTTCTTTATCCACTTTCAAATATATGAAGTTCTTTCAATTTTAGATCCTGCCTAATATTCTTAGCAGTCATTTGTGGGGGTTTGATACACTGGAACTGCAAGATGCCTAAGGATGAGGACTATTCACAATCATCTTTGCATTCTCCATAAGCCCTAACTCAGAACCACGTATATATAGTAAGGCCATAGAGTGGTGAGAAAATATTCAGAATAACTTTATAGCTTTGCAGACTTTGAAAATTAAGAAGGATTTGAATACGTACAAATGAACAACAGCATGGACAAAAGTATGGGAGCTGGAATGCTCACTAGAGGTTAAGGCAGATGATGACCAGATCATGGCATACCTTAGAGAGCAAGGTTGAGGTGATAGGGAACCTTGACTTTTTTTTTTTTTTTTTTTTTGAGCAGGGGAGTGGCATTAGGACCATTTCACAGTGTGGATGCAGTGGATTGGAGTAGGATGGGAGATTACTATGATAATCTGTCCTTGTAATGCTAGTAATTTTTGAGAAATATTCCAGTAGTGGAGGAGATAATGTGATCCTTTTTTTTTTGGTGGTAGGGATTGACCGCAGGGCCTCACGTGTGCCACATACAAGGGAAGTGCCTTACCTCTCAGTTATACCACCAGCCCTGCTGATTCGATCCTTAATCAAGAGGAAGTTGAAGGCTGATGAGGATATGGCTTAGTGGTATAGTGCTTGCCTGGCATGCATGAGGCCTTGGGTTTGATACCCACTGAGCACTTGATAGGTAGGTATGTAGGTAGGTAGATAGGTAAGAAGAAAAAGAAGTTAACATAGTAGGGAATAAAGGAAAAGACGTGAATATACAGCCCTTAGAGGGAAAACCAAAATAAAACACAAGGACTTGGCAGTTGTGGAAAAGGGAAAGGTGGGATTGACAGTAAGAACATTTGGAGTCCTAAGAATGTAGAGAAGGGGTTGGAGTTATGGCTCAGTGGTAGAGCACTTGCCTGGCATGTGTGAGGCCCTGGGTTTGATCCTCAGCACCGCATATAAATAAATAAAAGATCCATTTACAACTAAAAAACAAAACAAAACAAAACAAAACCTGAGGAAATGGTTATGCCACTTGCTAAACCTTGGAGGCTGGGAAATAGAAGATGAGTTCATCTTGTTGACATGTGGAGTTGGAGGTGCTACTGCTAGTTCAGTCCGTGCGCCCACCTGCCCTCCTTTGACCTGGGCCTATAGATATCTTTCAGGTCTTTGTTTTTGCCGTTTTGTTCCAGATGTGGAGTCCCCCCTAACCATATCTCTATTTATATCTTGAAACAATTCTCACTCCTTCACTGAAACAAGATAGTGCATATAAGGTGCTTAGCTTAGAACCTAATCTATTTCCAAGTGTGAGGTAAATGATAGTGGCTATTCTAAATGGCTCTTTTCATTGTGGTTTGGTCCTCACAGAAGCTACAGATTATAGACTAGAGAAGTCTTTGGAACCACCTGGCTCAAAGACTAAAGAGTCCTTTAACTTGTATTCCATAAAAACACAAGTTAAAGGACTCTTTAGTCTTTATACTGGACTGCAAGTAAATGGAGAAGATATCAGGCTAGCTTGTAAATGGGTAGGGAGCTCTGAGCCATATCACCTAGAGCCTAGAGAACATGTTTTCTGCCACCTTCTGTTTTTTTTTTTTTTTTTTTTTTGTGGTACTGGGGATTGAACTTGGTGGCACTCAACAACTGAGCTGCATTCCCAGCCCCATTTTGTATTTTATTTAGAAACATTCTTACTGAGTTGCTTAGCACCTCATTTTTGCTGAGGCTGGCTTTGAACTCATGATCCTCCTATCTCAGCCTCCCAAACCGCTGGGATTACAGGCGTGTGCCACCATGCCCAGCCCCTGACTATTTTATGTGAAATAGAATTCTACTCTTTCTCCTTGTTATTTCTTTTCTTCCTTACCCTGCTTTGATTTTTTTTTTTTTTTTTCAAATAGCACTTAGCACTGTCTGGAAAAAAAAAAAGTGCAAAATGTATGAGGGTAGGAACTTCGAATGCCCATACTATCCTAAGTTAATGTCTATTCTGAACAGGACCCCTAATGGACTTCTCTCTCTGTTATAGGTGAGGACTGTTCCCAGAGGCAGTTGCTGCTAACCCTGTAACCCAAAGGAGGAAATAACTGGCTAAGTCCAGCCTCAATACTGGTGAGTGAGAGTTCTTGGTCAGACTCTGGGCAAGCTAGGGCTAAGATATAGGCTAACAAGTTTGGGGATTATTTTTACCCTTAGTACAGATAACTTACAGGTGATTACTTTCCTACGCCATGACTAAAAGATTGGATATTGGGATAGGTAGCCTCCTGGTCTGGGAGTAGTGTTGAGATAACTTTCTTGGAGCTGCAATGAGAATGTCTGGTATCATTTTTATTTACTATTAGTAAGGCAAAGCAGGCTTACTTCTTTCTTGCTTCTGCCAGCTGCTTTCTGCTGGGGGGTATCCTGGGACCTGGCAGTTTTGCCTGTATTCCCATAAGCTCTTTCAATATGACCTCCACAACTCTGAGGCTTTCTTGACTTCAGTCTCTGCCATGGCCTACCTAGACCCTAGGTTAGCCTTAGGAAATCCTATAATTCTCTTAGTCCTGAAAAGTGTGATAGTAGTGGTGGTGATTGAGTTATATAGTAAGGCTATATGAATGGGAAGTCAGGAAAGAAAAAGGAGGACCACAGATAGTGAAGGGAAGGAAATCAACATACTAAGAACTTATTTTGTTAGATTTCCTTTAATCTCTTTAGACAATTCCATTTTAAAGATAAGGAAATTGAGGCTTAGGAAGCTGAAAAATTTTTCAGGCTTTATGCCTGACACCCCATAAAGCTGATTGTAGTACCTAGTTCAGTCTAAATATAAATAATACCCTTGTTTTTCCTGATTTGATGGCTTTTCCTGCACTGCTAATCTTTCTAGTATCCTGGTTTTTCTTAGAAAATTCAAGACAGACCTCTTTAAGGATTCTATATTTGAGAGATTCAGAAGGGCAGTCAGGAATTAGTGATCCCTTCTGAGCAACAGTTTTATGTAGGCAGAAACCCAGCTAAATAGGACTGGAAGGAGAAGAAAATGTCCAACACATGGATCCCATAAACATTTGACTGACACAAATTGGGGACTTGGAGAGTTGGGTTGAAGTTGGAAAACCTGGGTTTTTATCTATTTTAGTGTGTGCCCTTCGACAACTTTTATTTCCCTATTTGTAAAATTGGAATGCCTGCCTTCCCCCCAACCTTTGTGTGTTTGACAACCATGCGGGGATGTTGTAGAGAAGCTAATGAGAAATGCCACATTGTGAACCATAAAGCAGCATGAAAGAAACAAGAAAGAAGAAAATGAGAAGAAAGCATTATAGCTATCTGTAGCATCTCAGCCCCTGACTTGTTTGCCACTCTACTACTCGCCAAAGTAAAAGGGAAGGTTTTCCTTTGGGAATTTCTGTTGTAAAACATCTCCCATTCCTTCTCTTCCTTCCTTTCTCCTGTTGACCCTTCCCACAGCAGCTCAGTTTTTCCATAAGGAAAAGGATTCCAGAGCACAGATGACAAAGCCAGATAGCATTCACAGCTGCAGTTTACAGCATGCAGGTTGCAGAATGTGGCTTTAAATGCACTTATGCCCTGGCTGCAAGGCCATAGATATTTAAGCAGTTTTCAGGAGTCTATCCTAGTGTAAGTCTGTTCTCACGGAATGGTTTTTCTGAAGAAGTTGCCTTGTTTCCTTAGTGTCATCTCAGGAGAAAGCTATTCCTATTTTGATCAGATTTCTTGCCCCCTTCCCTTCCTTACCCAAATTATAGTGAAAAAGGCGTTTATACTGTAGTTGCATATCTTATTGAAAACCATAGTCATTCCAGTTTCCTGTCATCTTGCTTTTTCCCTAATGGACATTTTGTTTTTCCCTCTCTCTGCCTGGGGGGCCATGGAGGAGTCTCATCCGCACCTGGTGCTCTTGGATTTCACATAGCCAACTCCAACCTTTTCTTCATACTATGAGTTTCCAGGCTCTTGTCGACACCTCTTTTTATCTTGGTAGTCTAAACTCCTACAGTTTCTGGCCTTTCCATGGCCTGGGTAGATCATATTTTTCCTGAAACAGTTTGACTACTATTTTAAAATATGAATGGTTTCAAGGTGAGTGTGGTGGCACATAATTCCAGCTATTTGGGAGGCTGAGGCAGGAGGATTGCAACTTGGAGGTCAGCCATTTAGTGAGATCCTCAGCAACTTAGTGAGACACTGTCTCAAAATAAAAAGAAAAGGACTAGAGATGTCTCTCAGTGGTAAAGCACCCCTGGATTCAATTCCCAGTACAAAAAGTTTCTATATAAATAAATGTATAATGTAGAGTTATCCTTATAATAGCTTATTCAGCTAACAGCCTCATTTTTCCAGAACCTAAATAAAAAACAAGAGGGAAGCAAAGGGTTGTCATCCTTAAGCCGGTGCTAACTCTTGTTTTTATGTGTTGTTAATAATAAATTTAGCATTCTGGTTTCTAACCCCCAATATGATTAAAAGCAACATATTAAAAAAGGGAGAGGAGGTACTATATTAATAGCTGCTGGAGGTGATACCTGAAAGCTGTTAGTAATGGGAGGGGTGAAATAAAATGATAAGAAAGAGAAGTTAAAACAGGAGACTGGAGGGCAGTAGTCCTACAAACATCTATGTGCATCAGTAAGATAGGGGTGGAGCTATATAATTTCTACCATTGTTTTAAATTCTTTTTTGAAGGCCAGAATTTTCAGAAAATGTTGCATTAATTAATTATAGCATCTATTATATTATCAGTAATATAATGAATACTGTACATGAATTTCATTTTCATAGCAACTTAGGAGGTAGGTGGTGATATTCTTGCTTTATAAATGACTGAGACTTAGGGACCTGTAGGCAGAAGAGCTACGCTTAGAACCCAAAAGAATTTAGCTCCAGAGAACTAAGTTTTTAATGTTATCCTATATTAGCTCTTTTTTTATGACCTAAAAACCCTGTCCTTCTCAACCTTGGAGAGTTGGGTTGAAGTTGGAAAACCTGGGTTTATAGCTATTTCAGTGTGTGCCCTTCAACAACAATTTCCTTTCATGGGCCAGGAGTTTCCAAACCTTTCCTCGTCATTTTCCAATATAAATTTTTCTTTTTGAAGATACTTGTTCATGATTCATTTACTGAGTATTTGTTGAACTTCTACTATGAACCAGGTTCCATTTTAAGTATTTGAGATGTACCAGTGAATAAAATAGTTTTCTCTTGTGGGGGGTGGGGGAAGTATACAGTCTTTCATCATTGGGGTTTTTTTGTGGATGGCTTTTATCAGGCTAAGAAAGTTCCCTTGTATTTCTAATTCATGGAGTTTATATTCTAGTGGAAGAAAGTATATAAATGAAGCTGGGTGTAATGGCGCATGCCTGTAATCCCAGTGATTAGAGAGGCTGAGGCAGGAGGATTATGAGTTCAAACCCAGTCTCAGCAAAAGTCAGGCACTAAGCAACTCAGTGAGACCCTGTGTCTAAATAAAATATTAAAAAGGACTGGGGGGTGGGGTTATAGCTCAGTAGTAGAGCGCTTGCCTAGCATGTGTGAGGCACTGAGTTTGATCCTCAGTACCATATAAAAATAAATGAATGAATTAAATCTACAACTAAAAAAAATATTTAAAACAACAACAAAAACTTAAAAAAAAAAAAAAGTGTGGTGGGAGGGCTGGGGATGTGGTTCAGTGGTCGAGTGCCCCTGAGTTCAATCCCTGTTACTGGGGAAAAAAAACAAAAGAAGAAGAAGAAAAAAGAAGTGTGAAGAATGAATAAATGTGAAGAAAAATAAAGCAGGATAAGGAAATAGTGAGCAGCTTGATTATCAAAGAAGGCCTCCCTGAGGAAAGATCTACCCAGGAATTTGCTGGAACTGTAGTAGTGATCTATATGTGTATCTTGGGAAATAACATTCTGGCTGTTTGGAGTTCAGGAAGTTCAGAGATCCTGAAATAGGAGCATGCTTATTGTATTTTAGGAGTAAAAGGAAACCAGTGAGAGGAGAGTAAGTGAGCAAGGGGGAGAGTGGAATATCGAAAAGAAGTCATAAGGGTAGACAGGGCAAATCATGTAGTGCTTTATCCTGAGTGAAGTAAGAAGCCATTGGAGAATTTTGAGTAGAGAAGTGATATAATCAGACATCCATTTTTAAAAAAAAAAATCTGCTTATTAGTGACATAATGATACATCTTTTTTTTTTTTTTTAAGTCTGCCTGATTGCACCAACTGGTACCTCTAGTCCTCAATCTGATATAATGTTGAATAGAAGTGGTCAGAAGAGACAACCTTACCTTGTTTCTAGTTCAGGGGGTAAGGGGAGAATTGAGTCTTTCATCATTAAAATTGTGTGTGTGTGTGTGTGTGCGCGCGCGTGTGTGTGCGTGCGTGCGAGAGAACGAACACGCCTTATACCAGGCTAAGAGAGTTTTATAATGGATAGGTATTTTTTGCAGATTCTGTGTTTTTGTTCTACTAACATGGTATATAAATTTTATTTTTAGTTATTAAACCAACTTTGCATTCCTAGAATTTGGTTGTAGCATATAATTGATTTTAAATTTTAAAAATGAATTAAATTCTTTTAAAATTTGCTGAGGGACACTGATCTGTAGTATCTTCCCTCCTCCCTCTCTGCCCCCTTCTCCCCAATTACTGGGGATTGACCCCCAGCTCTTTTTATTTATTTTGAGACAAACTCTTACTAAGTTTCCCAGGATGGACTTGAACTTGTTGGTTCTGCTTCAGCTTCTTGAGTTAGCTGGGATTGCAGGCATGTACCACCAGGTCAGGCTTGGTCCATAGTATTTTGTATCTTTGTCTGGTTTCAGTATCAGGGTAATAGTGACCTCATAGAATGAATTACAGTGTTTCCTCCTGAGTTTGTAATGGCTTGTTATTATTTCTTCTTGAAATATTTGATAGAATTCACCATGCAGCCATGTGGGCCTGGGCTTTTTTTGGGGGGGAGGGGGGATTTTAAAATTACTAATTAAGTTTTTCCCCCCCTTATAATAGATCAACTTAGATTTCCTGTTTCGTTTTTAGTCACTTTGGATAATTTTTGTCTTTCTAGGAATTTGTCCACTTCATCTAAGTTGTTTGATTTGTTGGTTTAAAATT